CTTCCCACTCTTCTCCAGGGGAGGACAACTTACCCTATTCATTTATACTACATCTACCTCCCTCCTGTACAGAAGCTATGCTGGAGGTTTTCAACACCAGCTGGTATACAGGTGCCTTCCCTGATATGTGGAAACACTCTCTTCTGATTCCGATTCTAAAGCCAGGCAAGGATGATACCCAACTGAGCTCTTACCGGCCCATTGCTCTACTGCCCTGCTTAGATAAGGTGCTGGAATGACTGGTGGCTACTCGTCACTCTTGGTGGATTGAGGAACATGGCCTCCTGCCTGATAACCAGAGTAGCTTCCGAGAAGGTCGATCCACCCACGACCCTTTGCTTCAATTTACACAGCTTGTGCACACTTCATTTGAATGCCGGGAGTTCCTTTTGGCTGCAATTTTGGACCTACGCAGAACAATTGACTCTGCATCACACACAGCAATTGTTTTCGAGCTGGCCCGCATGGGGCTGACAGGAGCTCCCCTCTGCTGGATGCGCAACTTTTTGCAAGGGAGGACCTTTCGTGTAGCAGTGGGTGGCGCTTTGTCCTCACCCTGTCCTGTATACCGGGGAGTGCCCCAGGGATCTGTTCTTAGCCCACTCCTTTTCTCTGTCTTATTGTCGGATCTCCCTTCCATCCAGGGAGTGCATACTCTGGTGTATGCGGATGATGTGGCCCTTATGTGCAGTGCCCCAGCTTTACTGACAGCACAAGAAACACTTCAGGGTGCCTTGTAATGCATAACATTATGGGCCACCACCTGGGGTTTGGAGGTTAGTGACACTAAGTCCAAGCTTTTATGCTTTACTAGACGCCGACTCCCCACTCTTCCATCAGTCTCATTGAACCAGACACCAATCCCTTTGGTCTCTTCTCATCGTTGGTTGGGAGTCACCTTAGATGCGCCATTCTTAACATGGAAGAAACACACAGCAGCCCTCACCTTTCGTGTGCACGTCGCATTGCACTTATGCGCCGGATCTCTGGCACCAAGTGGGGGGCGGATCGAGACCTTCTCTATAAGTTCTATATAGCTATGGTTTGCAGCAAGCTCACTTATGCGAGTGAGGTGTATGGCTCGGCTTCTTCCTCCTCTCTTCATCGCTTAGACATTCTCCAGAATTCAGCCATCCGTAATATGCTGGGGGCATTCCCCTCCACCCCTATCGCAGCCTTGGAGGCAGAGTCGGGGATAGTCCCTCTCTCGTCGGTGAGGACAGCGAGGAACTGTTTACGACTCCATCATATGGCCTCTCTGCCTTGTATTCACCCCTGTCGCCTCTCTTCACAGATGTGGGAGACAGCCTCTGTCCCCCCACGTTTGGCTCAGCCTTCCTTTGTAGCCAGAGCCCAGCGTTCCCTGTCCTGCCTTACTCTTCCTGCACTTGTGATGACTCCCTCCCCTCTCCACTCTCCGGCACCCCCCTGGCTGGACCTGACACGATACATTCACCTGGATTGGCACTACAGGAACAGGGAGCCCCCTCAGTTAGTTGCATTTCTATTTGAAGAGTTTCGCTCTGTTACATATGGCTCTTCATTCTTCGTCTACACGGATGGCTCAGTACGGTCCTCCCCCCCTTCTACATTATCTGCGGCCTTCTTCACTAATCTCTCCCTGTGTCAAACGTGGCGGTAGGACCCTGCTCATTCTGTTCTGGCAGGGGAGCTCTTCACCATTCACCAGGCTCTGGCTTTTGTCCTAGATCACATTCCCCCACAACCAATGGTCCTCTTCTCTGATTCCCAATCTTCCCTGGCACTTTTGTGCTCTGCCTGTCCACGATCACTGCACATCCTCGTTCGTCGGACACAATCTCTTCTCCTGCGCTTCTTGCGGAGCCCAGGTTGGACATCTCCCTTCAGTGAGTTCCCGCCCATGTTGGAATCTGGGGCAATGAAGTGGCAGATCAGGCGGCCTCCCTTGTGCACACACTTCCTACTGTTGCCCCTCTTGCCCTGGGCCACAGTGATTTCACAAGGGCTGTTTGGAAGGGAATCCGTCATCAGTGGCAAGAGGGCCTTGCACACTCCCTCTCTTCTTCTTCGGCGTTGGGCTCCGTCCGAACTTTTAATGGCCCCTGCCCTTGGGCTCGCCATCCCAACCGCTCGGTGGACGTTGCACTGACTCGCCTTCGAGTCGGGCACTCGCGACTGGCGGCTCATCTATATCGCCTTTGGATGACGGACTCTCCGTACTGCCTGTGGTGTCCCTCACAGCCTGAGACGGTGGAACACTTCCTGCTGTGGTGCCCACATTATCACTCTGCACGGACTACTCTCCATGCAGCCTTGCGCACACTTGGGGTGCACACTTTCACTCTACCTGTCCTCCTCAACGGGGAGGGGTTTCGCCCTCTGGACCATCAGGAGATATTGGCCTGTACCTGCTCCTTCCTGCTGGCTTCAGGGTATATCAGAGACATATGATACATAGTTATTAGTCAAGACATTCTTCCACTTTGGTCGATATTCCCTCTCCTAGCACTGGACGGCTGGGCTCGACACAGCGTATGTTGTCAGTGGCCCTGAAACTCAACAGAAGAAGAAGAAGAAGAAGAAGAAGAAGAAGAAGAAGAAGAAGAAGAAGAAGACATCTGACCTAATAGCACAAGCTAGTCTGGTCCAACTCACACCCACCCACACCCACTCATGCATTTATATAACCTATTTTTACTTTCCTCTTGAAATGTGAGTAATAATATGACATGACATCAGTAAATCACTAGTGTTTGACACTCTATTTGCTCTAGCTGGCGCTCAACTGAACTGGCGTTCCCACAAGGTACTAAGTGGTCCCCGATTTTTTCATACTGTGCACACTGAGTGCACAGACCTACTCTTTCATATCTAGGTGAATCAGGCCTATCCCGCCAAATCTGAAGGAATGAAAAATAAAACGTTGATATACGTTCGGAGCCTGCCACATGTGCATGTATATCTACATGTGGACAGTTAAAGGAGGGTTAAAGAAGGGGTTTGGGACAGTGGCAGTTTGGAGGGGCATGTTATATATGCTCTTAAACTGTTGTAACTGGGCACCTTTGCAAAGACAGTGATTATGTGTGAGTGAGGTGAAAGTGTTGAATGATGATGAAAGTATTTTCTTTATGGGGATTTTCTTTCTTTTTGGGACACCCTGCCTTGGTGGGAGACAGCCGACTTGTTGAGAAAAAAAAATAGCTTCTTCCATACTCCCTCTCTCCAATGTGATATCAAATTTTTCTTTATCTAAATTGTTTGATACCCTCATCACCTTACTCTTACCTATGTTCACTTTCAACTTTCTTCCATTACACACCCTCTGAAATTTATCCACTAACTGTTGCAACTTTTCTTTAGAATCTCCCAAAAGCACAGTATCATCAGCATAAGTAACTGTGTCAACTCACATTTTGTATTTGATTTCCCATAATTTAATCCCACCTCTCTCCCCAACACCCTAGCATTTACCTCTTTTACATCCCCATCTATAAATATGTTAAACAACCATGGTGACATTACACATCCCTGTCTAAGACCTACTTTTACCGGGAAATAATCTCCCTCCCTCCTACACACCCTAACCTGAGCCTCGCTATCCTCATAAAAACTCTTTACAGCATTTAGTAGCTTACTACCTATTCCATTCACTTGCAACATCTGCCACACTGCTCCCCTATCCACTCTATCATATGACTTTTCAAAATCCATAAATGCCATGAAAACTTCCCTACCTTTATCTAAATACTGTTCACATGCATACTTCAATGTAAACACTTGATCAACACATCCCCTACCCACTCTAAAGCCTCCTTGCTCATCTGCAATCCTACTCTGTCTTACCTTTAATTCTTTCAATAATAACCCTACTGTACACTTTACCTGGTATACTCAGTAAACTTATTCCCCTACAATTTTTACAATCTCTTTTGTCCCCCTTCCCTTTATATAAAGGAACTATGCATGCTCTCTGCCAATCCCTACGTACCTTTCCCTCTTTCATACATTTATTAAACACCACCACCAACCACTCCAACACTATATTCCCCCCCTGCTTTTAAGATTTCTGTCATGATCCCATCAGTTCCAGCTGCTTTACCCCCTTTCATTCAACGTAATGCCTCATGCACCTCTCCCACACTCACATCCTGCTCTTCTTCACTCCTGAAAGATATTATACCTCCCTGGCCAGTGCATGAAATTACTGCCTCCCTTTCTTCATTGACATTTAAAAGTTCCTCAAAATATTCCTGCCATCTACCCAATACCTCCATTTCGACACCAACTAACTCCCCTACTCTATTTTTAACTGACAAATCCATACGTTCCCTAGGCTTTCTTAACTTGTTTATCTCCAAAATCTTTTCTTATTTTCAGCAAAATTTTTTGACAATGCATCTCCCACTCTATCATTTGCTCTCCTTTTGCACTCTCTTCACTTTTCTTTTATTCTCCATATACTCTGCCCTTCTTATATCACTTCTTTGTAAAAACCTCTCATAAGCTACCCTTCTCTCTTTTATCACACCCTTTACTTCATTCCACCAATCACTCCTCTTTCCTCCTATAACCACAAACTTCTGCCCCACATTCTAATACTGCATTTTTTAAACTATCCCAGCCCTCTTCAAGCCCTCTACTACCCATACTTGCACTAGCCCACCTTTCTGCCAATAGTTGCTTATATTTCACCCTAACTTCCTCCTCATCCCTCAGTTTATACACTTTCACCTCTCTCTTACTTGCTGTTGCCATATTCCTTTTGTCCCATCTACCTCTTACTCTAACTGTAGCTACAACTAAATAATGATCCGATATATCCATTGCCCCTCTATATGATGTGATAATTACTATACAGAATATAGCAAGGCTCATGAAATCATAACACAATTGCAAACAAATCACAGAACGAATGGTGATTCACTTGCCATGGATTTGAGCCTCACCCATTCAGTGTTTTAATCAGAATATAGTATGCTATATTCATGTGTTATACAAAGAAAACTGTGCTGTACCTGTGGAGTGCCTTCTACAATGAACTCCAAAAGAGCATTGTTCGAGGACAATGAGAAAAGTCGGCCTCTCTTCTGTACCAATCCAAGTGCTGCACTACGAACTTTACTCCAGTCCAAACTTGTCTCGTGTAAGCATGCATCAACCTGTTAAACAGTCAATAGGTGTGTATTTTAATAAAAACACAATAATAGCTTTGGTTCCAAACTTTTTTTTTTTTTACCATACAGGCATTTTTCATCAAGGTAAGTAGATCCAAAGAAGGAAATACATTTCCAATCATTCAACTGAATGCTGTCTTGTTAAAAATGTGAGGCCTCTGAGCTACATTATACTTCCCACTTCTAGAACTAAAATTCATCTAAATGATTTCTACAAATCCTTTAATAAATTTTGCCTTGCTCACACTCTGGCAGCACATAAAATCCCAAAACAAACTTGCCTCCAATCAAATCTAACATGCTCACACATACCAAATGGATGCTCCCTACCTCTTAAAACCTTCATCAACCCCTCCCTCCAGCCCTTCCTGAATTATCTTCCTATCCCTTTTTCCATTTACTTAAGACTTATATACCCTCTTGTCATCCAAAACTGCCCCAACATTTCTAAACAAATTAGCTTTTCAACATAGTTCTCGAATTTTAAAACTACAAAAATCCAGATATTTTCCCAAGATGTCATCTTGCTTTCGCACTCCAAATTATATTTTTTAATCCACCACACTTTAATTTCTGATCTTCTCAGTTTCTGCATAAATCAACAGCATACTGATTTTAAACATGACATCTATATTCTTATTTCTATTTGCAGGAAACATTTAAAATCATATTGTAGTCCAACAGAAAATAGACGGACCTGAAACGGTGCCATTTGTTCTCGAAGGATGAGGAGATGTTTTATCTCAAACAGTTGTGCATCTAAAGGTGATGACCTTTTACTGATGGTTGTGGAGGCCAGACTAAGGCTTTGCATGCATGCTGCTAATGCATCCAGTGACACCCCCTGGTCCAAAGACAAAACAGAAGAATTATAATAAAATCTGAGCACTGTAGTGCTTTGTTGTCAGCTTCCTTTAACACAAGATTAAACAGTACTGATTCTAGCATAGCCCATCCAAAGAAAAGGATACTGGTACTTAAGCTGCAAATACCTTAATACTTTAATATCTTTTGTGGAACTTCTTTGTTACCAAATAGGATTTCACAGTGACCAGCTGGTACCTAATGGATACCAACTTTTCAATATTTTAGTCTATTTTTTTTAGATACTTTTATTTTTAAAGATTAATGAGTTAACGTCTTGATGTGCATGATTTTAGAGGGGCAACATATTTATCTGATCAATATTGTAGATACAGTGAGAGTTAGACTGGGTACAAGGAGAAAGTCATCAGTAAGAAAGAAGTGAAAGTTTATAAATTAAAGGAGATAGGGAAAGTTACAAGCAACTGTTGGGAGAAGGATGGAACAGAGAGAGTATAAGTTACAAGAAGGTTGAAGAGGTATGGGGCAGATTTAAGAATGCAGTGTTAGAGTGTGCAGGAAGTTTGTGGATATGGAAGGGGGAGGGTGGTGAGGAAGATGGAAGAGTGGTGGAATGAGGCAGAGAGTATGATAAGGGAGAAAAAGTTAGCATATGAGAAGTTTTTTACAAAGCAGAGGTGACATAAGGAGGGTGGAGTATATGGAGAGTAAAAGAGAGGTTATGAGAGTGGTGAAGGAGCATGAAAGGAGAGCAAATGATAGAGTGGGTAAAGTTCTGTCAACAAATTTTACTAAAAAGAAGAAAAACTCTCTAGGTAATAGGCTGGTAGACAGTAAGCACCCAGGGAGGTACTACTATCCTGCCAAGTGAGTGTGAATCGGAAACCTGTAACTGTTTTACATGATGGTAGGATTGATGGTGTTTTTTTTCTCATAAATACATGGGATAACAGGTATATCTTGCTACTTCTACTTGCACTTAGGTCACACTACATATGCATGTACATGCATATATGTACAGTGGACCTTCGTTTTTCATAAGCATCGGAAGTCGTAATTTTCGAAAATTGTAACTTTTTTCGTCAAAATATTGACTTCCAAATAGTTGACTCGCAAACAGTCGCTCATCCCAGATGCATACGCATGGCCCTGAACAGCCCCACACTCCATTCACAGCCAGTGTGCCACTGTTTATCAGCGAACGAGGACGATCCCATGCGTTCATATGATACATTTCATAATATTTCAGTTGTTTTAGTGCTTGCAGCTGCTAAATAAGCCACCATGGCCCCAAAGAAAGCTCCTAGTGCCAGGCCTTTGGTAAAGAAGGTGAGAAACACGATAGAATTCAAGAAAGAACTCGTAGCAAAGTACCAAAGTGGAGGAGGAAGAGAGAGGGGAGAATGTACCTACTTCAGTGATTCTACGATATGTACGATACTAAAGCAGCACGAGTAGATAAAGGCTACAGCTCCAGCCAGCGATAAAATGTAGTATTAACAGTGTAGCAAGTAAGTTAAGCGATTAATCAATAGAAAAAGGACAGCACGAACCTAACTCCTCCAATGTTGTTGGAGTTATATAGGGCTACTGAGAACACCACTGCCTCCACCACCATGTATGGCTTATGCTCTCAGTGGCCCTTATACACCCAACAACAAAGTACACCACCACTGGTGACATATAATAACATTTTTTTTATTCATTCTAGAGTATATGTCATGTTTCTATGTTGTTAACATTGTTTATTATGTCATATTAGATGAATTGTGATAGATAAATAAGCCATAGAGTTGATATTCGTGTCATATTAAAGGACTATCTTGTCCTGCCTCCAAACACACTCCCGTGTCGCCACCACAGCTCCTAACATACGTAATGACATATTTTATTCATACACCAACAAGTCTTTAATAAAGGTATGTGTGATGTTATTATTGTTTTATTCTTCATGTCTCATTGTTTTCTGTGGATGTAAATCTATATTTCATGTACAGTAGACAGTCATTTAACACGAGTTTATTTGGCACGATACGGGCATAGCACGATTGAAGAATTGCGGCACAATTTTATGTAAGACTTCATAAAATCAATTTAACGCGATTTGCGGGAGGGGAAAAAATTTTGAGCGTGTGGTCGCCCGGGGTGGGTTAAACCACTGAGTCAATGGGGAGGCCTACCGCCATTCCCTCGCCACCCACACCCACCCAACTACGCTCCCAGCCTTCAGTTCAGTTCATACACGATGATACTCGGGAACCTCACTGTGTTTATTTACATTCATTGTACATATTTTCATTGCTATTTGTTGGCACCCAGTAAGCATACAAGTGTTGCTGAAAGTGACAAGAAAAGGTTTAAGCGTTCAAGTCTAGGAATTGCGAAGAAAACTGAGATATTTGATAAGCTTAAGAGTGGCTCACATGTGGTGGATATAGTGAAGGCCTATGGCCTTAATGAAGCGTCAGTTCGTACAATTAAAAAGAACGAAGCAAATATACGAGCTTGTGTAATGAATAACCCATGACGTCATCTCATGAAAAGAATGACATGTAGTTCCCAACACGTATGTAAATAAAACAGAAAACTTGTTGCTTGACTGGATCGAACAAAAGACAAAGAAAGGTGCACCACTTAATTTCCTCTTAATTAGGGTAAAGGCCTTACAGTGTGTGATAAGGAAGGCCTGAAAAAGTGTGTGTTTGGCACAGGCTGGTTCCACAACTTAAAGTTGCATAATAAATTACATAATACAGTGGAACCTTGACTTACGCGTGTCCCAACTTACGAGTTTTTTGAGATACGAGCTGTCCCTGGGCCGATTTTTTGCTCTGAGTTAACATTTGAGTTACAAGCCAGCTCCCCCCTCCCTCTTCGCCCTCAACCAAAACCTGGACAACTCGTTTGTTTATCTACGATTTCATGCTTTAATTCCATGGAAATCATTATCTTTTTCTTCTCAGCAATAATAATAATATAATATTATTACAGTCAAGTCACTCAGTAAGTCAGTCAAGTCACTCAACAAGTCAGTCAAGTCATTCAGTAAGTCAGTCTGGTCATTCAGTATGTGAGTCAAGTCACTTAGTAAGTCATTCAAGCCAGTCAGTAAGTCAGTCAAGTCAGTCAGTAAGTCAGTCAAGTCATTCAGTAAGTCAGTCAAGTCATTCAGTAAGTCAGTCAAGTCATTCAGTAAGTCAGTCAAGTCATTCAGTAAGTCAGTCAAGTCATTCATCATTTAAGTCATTTAGTAAAGCAGTAAGTAAACTCAGAAAGTCAGTTAATTTCATTTCAAAAAGTCAGTCAAGTCATTCGAAAGTCAGTAAGTCATTCATCATTAAAGTCCACTCAATAAGTCAGTAAAAGTCATCAGTAAGCAGTCTTTTCATCGCCACCAAACTCATGTTAACTTTTTTCTGTGTACAAGTAACACTTCGTTATGGCTACGGGTTTATCTTTTTCAAAAATTTCTTTTTTAATTTAAGACTTAGTGCTTATACCTTTCTTTCCACTTCAGCAACACTAGTATGGTACGGGTGTCATGATTGCTTGGCAGATACAAGGGTAAGTAATTAAAAAATCAAACACAATTGACAAAACACAGCGCCTTTTAGCAGAGAAAGACTAGAAAGTATGAATAAAATGCTTGGAGGGGGGGGGGTGGTTTGGGTGGTAGGGGGGGGTGGGAGGTCCCCCGGTGCACACAACCAAAGGGGGCCGCTTGAGCAAAAAAGAAAATTTTTTTTCCCCCCACGAAAACCCTTTTAAATTAATTGTACAAAATGTTAAAAAAAATTGTTTCAACAATTTTCAAAGGCGGGTCTACTGGATTATTATAATAAAGATTTTGAAATTCTTCCCTAAATTAATAATTTTTTTTTTTTTTTTAAAAGTCGGCCGTCTCCACCGGGCAGGGTGACCCCAAAAAAAAAAAAGAAAATCCCAAAAAAAAAATTTCTTATCTTTTAACATTTTACCACACTCAACATTTTCAGCTTTTGCGAGGTGCTCAGAATACAACAGTTAGAAGCTATACATAAGATACACAAATATCCCTCCCAAACTGCCAATATCCCAAACCCCTCCTTTAAAATGAGGCATTGTACTTCCCATTTCCAGGACTCAAGTCCGACTTTTTAAATAACCGGTTTCCCTGAAACCCTTTACTAAAAATTCCCCCGCTCACACTCCAACAGATCGTCAGGTCCCAAGTACCATTCGTCTCCATTCACTCCTATCTAACACGCTCATGCACGCTTGCTGGAAGTCCAAGCCCCTTACCCACAAAACCTCCTTTACCCCCTCTCTCCAAACCCTTTCGAGGACGACCCCTACCCCTCCTTCCTTCCCTATAGATTTATATGCTTTCCATGTCATTCTACTTTGATCCATTCTCTCTAAATGACCAAACCACCTCAACAACCCCTCTTCTGCCCTCTGACTAATACTTTTATTAACTCCACACCTTCTCCTAATTTCCACACTCCGAATTTTCTGCATAATATTTACACCACACATTGCCCTTAAACAGGACATCTCCACTGCCTCCAACCGTCTCCTCGCTGCTGCATTTACCACCCCAAACTTCACACCCATATAAGAGTGTTGGTACTACTATACTTTCATACATTCCCTTCTTTGCCTCCATAGATAACGTTTTATTGACTCAACATATACCTCAACGCACCACTCACCTTTTTTCCCTCATCAATTCTATGATTAACCTCATCCTTCATAAATCCATCCGCCGACACGTCAACTCCAAGTATCTGAAAACATTCACTTCTTCCATACTCCTCCTCCCCAATTTGATATCCAATTTTTCTTTATCTAAATCATTTGACACCCTCATCACCTTACTCTTTTCTATGTTCACTTTCAACTTTCTACCTTTACACACATTCCCAAACTCATCCACTAACCTTTGCAATTTTTCTTTAGAATCTCCCATAAGCACAGTATCATCAGCAAAAAGTAACTGTGTCAATTCCCATTTTGAATTTGATTCCCCATAATTTA